TGAAAACTTTGTGGATTTTGCTTCCATTGAAGAAAATGGTTTTGATCTCAAACCAACCATTAAAACTCAAAACTAGGCAAAGTACTTTGACAGGTTGATGGGTCCTGTTTATCCAGCATTGGTGAAAGAGTTTTGGATTCACGCCCAAGTTTGCCATAAGTTCATTCACTCTTCTGTTCTTGGAAAGGAGATTGTTATTACTGAGAAGTTAATCAGACAACTGATTGAGTATAAAGAAACTTATGGAATCACAAGTATGACAACTGCTCGTGTGGACTTGGCTGATGTTTTTCAAGAGGTCTGTGTTTCTGGGGAACCATCCAACAAAGTCAGAGATCTGAAGCCTGTTTACAGAATTTGGGTTAAGATTTTCATGAGCTCCATTTTTCATAGAAAATCTTCAAACTCTCCAAATTATGTCAACACAGAACAACTGTACTTCATGTTCTGTATGAGTCAAGGCAACAAGGTGGATCTGCCTTATCTTCTGTTCAGTCATCTTCTGAATCACATAAAGGAAACAAGAGAAGAAGTAAGAGTTAAGGCTGGAAAGATCAGAAATTGGATCCCTATGGGAAGGCTGATATCAGACATTCTAACAGAGAATGGTCTTGTAAAGCATCTGACTGATGCTGGGTTGATAGATGATCTGTCTTACATTGTAGGATCTGTCATTAATGGGAATACTCTGAAAAGGATGAAGGTCATCTCAGAGCTTGCTGGCAAACCTAAGAAGATTGACTCTGAAGAAGTCAGCAGAAGGAGGATTCCTCTAGCAGATTTTCCTATGTTCAGTGCAGATGAACCTAGGGAAATCATTATGTCATTCATTGCTGAATGTTTGAGAGATGGTATTCCTCTGCCTGCCAACATAGTACAGAAGGAAGGATAAATGTTGCCAAATCTTCTGAGAGAAAGGCGCAAGAAAAGGAAATCTGAGGAAGGATCTGTTGCACAGCCTTAGAGGAAAGCCTCAGATGCTACTGACAAGCCTGAGAAGGACAAGAAGCTGAAGGAAAATCCTCCAGAAGCTAGCTTGGAGGAAATAAGAGAAACAATTAAACAGGTATTAACATCTGATCCACAACCATCTGTCCATTCACCCTCACCTTCACCTCCATCATCTCCTTCTCAACCATCTGGACCTCATACATCTGAACCCATTTCATCTCCTCATACATATTCTCAACCATCTTCTGTTCAACAACCATCTGAACCCCCTCAACAAAAATCATCTGAACAACAACCCCCTCAACAAACATCATCTGAACCACAACAACAAATACAATCTGAACCACAACAACAAAAACAATCTGAACCACCCTCTTCTACTCAACCACCAGAAGAACCAACCATCCCAAATCCTGAACCCTCTATCCCACAACCATCTGAATACATTCTGGATGTGCAACCCATTGCAACCATGTATGTCTTATCTTCCACTTCATGTCATTCAACTGAATCATCTGATTCTAATGAATCTGAAGTTCCCTCACCAACTTGTTTACAAATTCCTGACCCTTATAAACCACTACCATCTGATCTACCTGCTTTTGAACAACACCTTCATCACCTTGCTCTTCGCTCCAAATTTAACTTCACAGACTTTCTACCATCTTCATCTGATGTTGTTACATCAACTCCATCTGATGTTGATACCTCTACACCTCATCTCACCACACCACAACCATCTGAACAACCACCATCTGATTAAACACCTTCTGAACAAACTCAAACAAGCCCTGAACCTTCACAAAAATTCACCATAGAAGACTATCTGAACCTCAAACCCAGATCAGAAGTTTATACTTTGTTTAAGAATTTCAAGAAGGAAATGCGTATGGGGATTGCTCCTGTAGAGAAAGAGTGTCTGTCTAGTATGGATCCTACTGAATCTGAAGCTTCTTGGAACAGATTCATCTCAAAGTTCAACACTGCTGCCTCTAATCTCAGAGCAGTTTGCGCTGATGATGCAAAGGAAAAGTTTGCTGAAATGGTCAGACAGACTCTGATGAGCATTCTCACAACACCAGTGCTACTTCTGGAAGATGCTCCTGCTGAAGACTCTTCATCTGAAGATACTGCTTCAATGATAGAAGATACTCCTGATCCTCAGACTGCATCTAACATGGAGATTGATCATCCTAAGGCAACTGCATCTGCTTCTGCACCCTCTGCATCTGAAATGAAGACTGAGACTCCAGATGTTGTCCAAGAAGTTAAGGAAATCAGATCATGGATGGTAAAACAGGAACAGACTACTGAGGAGATCAAAACTTGGATGGCTAAGCAAGAAGAGTCTACTGCAAAGATTACTGATCTTCTGACCCTGATTGCATCTCGCCAGCCCTAATTTTCTTTTCCATGTTTTTGCACTTATGTTTGCATTTGTTTTTTGTTGTTTTGTTTTCTATTGTTTTGTTTTCAATCATCTGTTGTCTGAACATCTTTTGAATGAATTTGGCTGTTCTGTTTTTCATTTATGTGTTTTATTTTCTTTTCTTCTGTTATCTTTTTTGTCTTTTAAATTCTTTTTGGTTATGACAAAAAGGGGGAGAAAAAGAATCTGATTGTTCAATCCATAAGCAATACTAAAATGAAATTCAGACATAATTTTAACTAACATTGAATTTTAAGACTTTCAGATTTTATTGTTTCATCTGACATAAATTCTTTGAAGTTACCCTGAGAATTACCCAACCAGGCTCTGATCCTTGAAACAAATTTGACTCTGATTCTGGAAGATAAACTAGACTCTTTATTTGAAAGAATTCATCAGGCTCTGATTCTGGAAAGCATCCAAGCTCTAATTCTTTATTTTAACAAGGATTCCTACCAGGTTCTGAAATATACTCAAGCAAAAAGGGAAGTGTTCTCTTCTATTAGAGTATTCATTTTAGGGGGAAATTCTTAATCTCAGGGGGAGTTATATATTTTATTCTCTGTATTGAACAAAATTTCCTATGTTTTGTCATCATCAAAAAGGGGGAGATTGTTAGAACACAGATTGGTGTTTCTTATATCTCCATGTTTTGATGATAACTCTTATGGAATTTTGTATTAAGAATATATATACTCTAAAATTTGTTCAAGTATTATTGTTTCAGGTATTAAATTGAATACTCTTAAAGAAGCAAAATACATAAGTACAAGCAACTACACAACGCTCTGAAGCATCAGATGCAAGACAATCAGAAGACTCTGAAGCGCTGCCAGAAGAATCTGAAGCAGAAGCTGCAGAATGATTTGAAGAGTTTATGAAAGAATTGTATAAAGAGTTGAAAGCTTTGATCAAATCAAACTTTGAAGTTCATTTCACTGCAAGAATAGAGGCTCTGATAATCAGACTCTAATCAAATTAATGTTCACGCTCAAAGCACATACTTCTGCATACTCTGATGAAGACTCTGATCAAGATTGAGACTCTGATATATCAAGTTCTGATCATCTACCAAAGCTCTGATCATCTCAAACATTTAGCTCTGATCATCTCAAGTATTTGATTCCCTTTAAGCTTGTTACAAGATCTGAAGTGCAGATTATGAAGACTTCATCCTGAAGGAAGCTTGTTGAAGAAGCTGTAAACTTGATTGGACGTGGTGCTACTTCCAAAGTAACCAACGACTATTTTGTCCAATGAAGAGACGTGGTGCTAATCCCAAAGCTTCTACAACCATACTTTTCCTGCAGAAAGCATGTCTCTGCCCATACCTTTTGGTGATGAAAAATCTTATATTTCAATATAATACTTAGCTGCACATTATTCAAAGCACTTGGAAAAAGCTATAAAAGGAGAACTTCTACAACATTTAGAAGTTGCTCATTCAGAAAGAAATATTTGATACACACACTTGAAGCATCAAAGTGAAAATCTCTCAAAGCTCTTATACACTTGTTCTTTCATAAAACTGTATAGTTTTATTTGTACTTTATCTTAAGTGTAAATATCACAGTTGTGATACAGCTTATTAGAAGCATTTAAACACTTGTTTAGTTTACATTAAATTGTAAGAAGTTTCTTGAGAAGACCAAGGTGTGGTCAGTAGTTCTTAAGAAGTCTAAGACAGTTGTTCTTAGTGCTTGCTATTGTAATCAATTGATTAATAGTGGATTAAGTCCTTGTGGAGAAAGGCAAATCATCTTTGATAAGGTGGACTGAAGTAGTTGAGTTCAACGAACCAGGATAAAAATCTTGAGTTGTTTTTATTGCCATATTATTTTCAAACTCTTATTCAACCCCCTCTTCTAAGTGTTTTTCTCACCTTCACACTAGAGCACCACCAAAGTGAGGTCTTATTCAGTAAACCAATACCAAATCACATTTGAAGTATAATGGTGACAATTATTCAAAGTTGAGGTCATTATCTAAAGTTGAGGTCATTAATATTGCTAGCCTATTTTCCTCCTCTTCTATATATACATGTTGGACTAAAAAACCTACATCATTCATAATTTAAGACATACTTAAACACCATTTAAGCTTAACTATAACACACTTTTATCAAAATCCACCACACACTTATCAAAAACAAATCCTATTATTATATTCGATGAAGAGTGATTTAACAATCTTCAAATTGATACATCATTTTAACACCAATACAACCATATCGATCGTGACTTTGTTTAAACTTTACTTGTCGATAAAAAAATAATTTTACCTGCCTCATCGACTCAAATAGAAAACCTTTTACCAAAAACCAAAAATAAAAATAAAATAAAAACTTTATTTTAAGGCTATTGATCTGTTTGCCAAGCTGGTAAAGAATCTTCCAAGTCCATATAATTTCGTCACTTTGTCAAATTTTCCTCATTCGTTGCATTCTCGTTCTTTAATAAGGTACCTCTCTTTTATTCTCTCTCTTTTCCCCCCTCTCATTTTGCGTTTTTTTCTTCCTCTTTTATTCGTTAATTTAATTTATCATTTTTCTGTTTTCAATTTTTTAGGGTTTTTCATCAACTCTCATCTCGTTGCGCTCTTCAAGAATCGATCAACAATCATGACTCATATCCTTTTAATTTTCGTCTAATTCTTCCCCAATTGTGTCAATTTAGGGTTTATGTTGACTTTTGTGCTGGATTTCAAAGATTTCAATTTTTTGAATAATTTTTCGTTCTTTTTCCACAATCAAAACTACTTTATTTATTTATCTGTGATTTGAATTTTTTTGATATTGTTTGGATTTAACTTTAAAGCGAACGTGGTAACCAGAGAGAGAAAGATCGTGAAAGGGCTCAATCTAGAGTCGGTGGTTCTAAGGGAAAACCAGGAAAGAGTGATGGTTTGACCCCTGAACAGCGTAGAGAAAGGTTGTGTTAATCTACTTTCATCAATTACATTCTTCAATTTTTCATTTTTTTTTTCAATTATAAAATGTTTCAATCTTATTAACTTGAATTTTTGTTGTTTTTCATGAGCAGGGATGCAAAGGCTCTGCAGGAAAAGACAGCTAAGAAAGCAGCTCAGGATGCTGGAGGGAATAGTGCTGGTGGAAGCAAAAAATAGGCAATGGGTTGGTTGTTGTTACTGATTTGGAACTTGGTGAGGTGTTGGTTTTATACGTTTATGGAAAATTGAAAATATTTGTATTTCATATTCTGATTGTCTTTTTTGGTAGTTTAGAATTAAATGTGTGTATTATTGTCTTACTGGGGTAACTGAACAAATAATTGGTGTTTCCTTGAAATGGGTTGATGTTGGTTGCTGAGCCAATGGCTTGTATTGTATCTCTGGTTGGATTTGGAATATTACCATTTTTGTGACGATTTTGATCTTTCGCTCTCTGCCCTGTCATTTTGTTTGTTACCTAGCTTTGCTTTTAGGGTATGTTTGGATTGTCATTTTGTTTGTTACCTAGCTTTGCTTTTAGGGTATGTTTGGATTGGTAGTATGTGATGGAATGGAATGGAGTGGAGTGGTAAGTAATCAAATTCCATTGTTTGGATTTGTAAATAATGGATGGGGAAAAATGGAATATGATAGAATCCATTCTATGCAATTCTTCCATTTTCATTCTGCCCAATTTAGGATGTATGCAATAGAATGAACTAATTAGTTGTGTTACATTCCATCAAATCAACAAAAATATCTAAACAATGGAATGAAATATCTGATTCATTCCGATCCGTTCCATTCCATTTCATTTGGTTTCATTCCGCCTCGCTCTGTTGTAGTCCATCCATCCAAACATAGATTTATGTTAACTCATTTTATATGTTAGGCATAATGCATGGAATCAGAAACATTTAATTTGTGTATGTAGATGTTTTTGGTACGAAGGTTGGGTTGGTAATGGTTACAAAGATGTAATTTTTTGAACGCATATATGTATTCTCATATTATGATAATAATGGGTTCTGGGTGTTGACACTCATAGTTGTATTTATATTTGTTTATAGAGTTTAATAGAAACCTGCATCCTAGGAAAAACTCATCAGTTTGTTAATTTGTTAGAGTGTTAAGGTAGCACCTATGGTAGAAAAGACGATAGAAAATCAATTTAGGTGGTTTGAGCATGTAGAGAGAAAACCGGTAGATTAAGTGGCAAGGAAAGTAGATCAGAAGGAGTGGAGTCAAACAGTTAGAGGTAGAGGAAAACTTAAAAAAAACTATAATGAGAAGTTATTAAGAAATTTTTTGATATTAACGATGTCGATAGAAGTATGGTTCTAGATAGAATACTATAGCGGAAGTTGATCCATGTAGCCGACTCCTCTTAGCGGAATATGGAATATGGTTTGGTTGTTGTTGAAGACCCTCTTTTTACCTTCTTGAGACTATGACAGCCAACTCTCATGTCTCTAGGCTTCCTGCACTCGAATTTATATGATTTGGCACTTCTTAGAGGAAGTCATTTCCTTCTGATTATTTTCCTTGAATGTCTGAACTTTTTTTTCTCTATACTCTTCATTTTCCTAGAAGTAAAACACTTGTCTGTGATATATCCTGCCATCTTCACCTGAATCATTGTCTTCAAAAGTGTATTAGCCTTATGCCCCTTGGAGGACATTCTCTGCCAAGCTTTTAGAACAATGGACTTGGTCATTCTTTTTATATGTATGTATCTTCAGTTCTTCACTGTATAGTTCTATCTCCCTGTTTCATGGATCTTCAAGGATTGAAAAAAGCTCATCTTGCGTATATCTTTGATAGGACCTTGGCCTCTAGTATAGTTCCGAGTTGGGATATTAGGCAAAATACCTTTTTTATCCCTTAACTATACTCTTTGAGAAACGTTATCTTAGTTATCTTAATTAAAGACGTGCAATTGCTTAAGAATTCAATAGTTGTTATTTTCATTATAAAATTTCTACTTATTCTCAATATGGAATTTTTACTTTTGGATTTCATAGCATGCTAAAAGCACATGTGAGCAAAAAGACCCATAATCGATTCTTACGGATCCTTTATGTTTCTCTCCTGTTATTTTTGTTGCATATATTTTAAAATGAAGTTATTCCAAATGATAAATAATAAAAAAGTTACTACTAGACTATCATTCTTTTTGTTGAAGTAAAACTCCTTCATTGTTCAATTTTTAATAAATTATGAGAGGATTCATGATGGATTTGATGTTAAAAGTTATAAATGTAGTAAAGTTCCATAAAATTAAAAGAATTGGAAGAAGAGATACTTTGGAATTTTTTAAATTTGTGAGATTTGGTATCATGATTGGTGAGTTTACAAGTCAAAATCAACAAGTTTAATCAAACTAATTTGTGAAATGTGAAAATAGAATTTAACTAAGCACAAATTATGGAGGAACTTAATAGTAATATTATTTTAAGAAAACTTTAAATTTGAGGACTTAATTAGCTCAAATATTTACTAGTAGAACAAAAAGACATATTGATTACAACAAAATATCAACAAATTAATTAATTTTATCAATGGGATAAAAGAATTGAACATCACAACATGACCAACTTGCATATAATTGGTTGTAACGATTAGTGAGTGCGATGCAATATCATCCACCTATCTTAATATTCAAGCGTATGATCTCTATCTCTTTTCCATATTACATTTGTCATTTTCTTAACCACTTTCTCTCTTTTTCATTCTTATTATCTTTTTTGATCATCTTCATTCGTATCACCTAAGCAAGCACATTTTAGATCTAAGCTCTCTGTCTTCAAGCCATGGAGCAAAAGGTAAACAATATTTTCTTTAATATCTGATATCACTGCACATTTACCATTGAGTTAATTTAACGGAATAATATATGATATCTCTGTGCAACTACCACTGAATTAGTTTAACATGACAATTGTTCGAATTTCGATCAAGCAACTTTCCTGAACTCATGCAGGTTGCCATAATGAAGCTCAAGGTTGATCTTCAATGTAGAAAATGCTGTAAGAAAGTTAAGAAGGTCCTTTGCAAATATTCACGTGAGTCTTTCAATAATATTTCTCTTTTTTCCTCAATAATATTTATTTTCAAACCTTCTCAAGTTAATAATTTTTGTTTTTTTGTTGTTGGTGTTGCAATTTTGATGAATGAAAGAAATTCGAGATCAATTATATGATGAGAAGAATGGCATAGTAACCATAAGAGTGGTGTGTTGTAGCCCAGAGAAGGTAAGAGACAATATTTGTTGTCAAGGGGGTGGTACAATCAAGAGCATAGAAATTGTACAACCACCAAAGCCCAAAGAGCAAGAAAAAAAGCCCGAGGTTGAGACAAAGCCCAAAGCCCAACCAGGTCCACCTATTGATACTCAACCTAAACAAACAAAATCAAATCCAGCTCCAGCACCGGCTCCAGCACCAGCTCCTACAGCGGCTGCGCCAGCTGTAATATTTCCACATACAACGCCAATGTCCATTCTTTCATATCCTTCACCGGTTGTTCCTTATGGGTTTGTTTATGGGTCTGGACAAGGTGGGCCTGCAGAAGTTTACGGGAGGCCCATATACGATAGCTATGGATGGAGTGGGCCTTGTTACGCGGGCCATCACCACCATGAATACATTCATGAAGACGAGGCGCCGGGGTGTACAATAAGTTGAAGGGTGTATTGAGTAGAGGATGGTTATTTATTATTAAGGTTGTGAAATTTTTATATAATAACTTTACAATTTTATTTATGGAATTTCGTGAAATAATTGTTGAAAATTAAAATTGTATTGAATGGTATACTAAAGTATAAAGCTGTGTTGTATATATGAATATGAACTTAATAAAGTTTTTTATTTGGTTCATCGGGAAAAGAAAATATAGGCGATGTTTAGAAAGGAAAAAAATATTTGAAACAAAAGATTTTGAGTTAAGGTCAATTTTAACCTATAATCATCTCTCTTGATCAGGATCTCCTTTCTGTAGTGTTTATTTGGTTTCATTAACAGATTGAAGATGATCAAGATGTAATGCTCATTTAATAAAAGGGGTTTTGCTAAATCAACGTGCTATTAGCAAATTAGTTATAATGGTCTTATCGTTTTGGGTTATATTGGTTAAATCCCAACAGTTTTGTGTTTGTTGGTCCATAATTCTTAAATAGATGCAATGCATATATAGAAAAATACGAGAATTTTTTTTATGGCATCTTGGATGTTCTTAATGTGTTATATGAATTTTTAAAAATGTCTTTTGTTTTTGGAGATGTATTTTCGGATACACTTTAACACACACTCCACAAAGATCATTATGAATTACGCTATTTTTTTTGGTTTAATTTATTTTGGAGATGCATCTCTGGAATAATTCTGTAATTACATCTCCGGGGACAATAGAAAAGTAAATTTTCAAAATGAAATTGACATTCATAACATAAAATGAGCATTACAATAATGATTTCAACATAAAATTCAATATTACATTCAAATATCCCGATGGACGATTGCACATCTTCAGAATATCTTCGAATGATCTTTGTAGCATCGCTTCCAACTCGAGCAAAACTTTCTCTTCGAAACCAAAATATGTATCCCACATAGCCCTAACATTTGTTTGCGTCTCAAGCTCAAATTTGCTGAACTCAATGTTTCATTCGTTGTCAATTGAATGTGAACGGTACTCGAGCTTCACAATCTTTTGATTGTCTCTATAACGTAGAAGAAGATGGATTTCATCTTTGATATCCTCCAGGGAGGTGAAGTCGGTGAGTTTGAACGTTCGCCCGAGTGTAAAGTCGAAGAAAGAGACATTTGCGACATACTAATAGATGTTTATTTGTGACATTTAAGACATTTTGAGTTTGTGTGAAATATAACGTTAGAGCACCTAAGTTTATAGAAGACAAATATCAATTTGGACCACTCATTAATTATCACTTTGATTTCGGAGATATATCTCCAAAAGCACACCCTATTATCTTGTTCTGGAGATGCACCTCTGGAACTTCTCCTGAACCAGTATCACACCAGAACACTAAAACATAATCAATTTTTTCATTGACAAAAACATACACATTGTTATAGGGTACATAAAAAATGCATAAAGACAAAATATGAACAAAAGGTGAATATATAACACATCATTTATATTGAGACACAATTACA